GGGCCCGATTGGCGTATTTCAGTGTGTTGAGTGTCTCCATGAAGTCCCGGTCTGAGGGGCTCACGCAGGCAATCATGATGGTCTGGCTGGGGGTGCAGTCAGGCCAGGGTGAGGACGAGGGACACAGCAGCCCCCAGAAGCACTGCCTTAGAGTAGAGGTCCTGCTCCCACCCCATTCCCCCCCACTGCTTTCATGCCCAAAGGACCTGGACTTTCAAGAGGGCAGAACCTGAGACATGGTGACTGGGACCACCAGGCCCAGAGTTTCCATGGCAACAGTGGGTGACCCCAGTGAAGGTGGCTAACAAGGTCAGGGAGGTTATAATGTGTAATTGCCAGAGTCCTCTGCTCTAGTCCCTGCAATTTTCTAGCATTTCCCATCTATTTTCTCATTTGGGCTGTATCACTGCCTTTAGGAATATCTCTCCCTGTTGCTCAGATAAGAAAACTGAGTCAGACCATAATTGGCCAAAGGTCACAGAGCACCTCAAGGTCCCTGCCTTCTAACCTACAGCCTGGGATAGGAAAGCCTCCTCCTGCAGGGGGTCATCACGCACCAAACCCTCAGATCAGCGTTCCCCAGGAACCTCCCTGCCTTCCCCTCGCCTTCACTGGACATTGGTTGTCAGGTACCTGTTGCCCCCCAGCGAGTCCTGGAGGAGCCGAGTGAGCTTGGAGTCCCTGTAGGGCACGTGTACCACCTTCTTGCTCTGGTCCCCCAAGGCGCTGATCACATTGCCCAAGGCTAGCTGCAGGAGACAGACCCTGGCACTCACGAGTCACTCAGGGAGGGAGGGGGAGGACAAGACAATCCCCAAGCCATCCGTGCCTGCCTCGCTGCCCCCAGCAGCCCCCGGGCTCCTTGGAAGGGTGTATAGGCAGATGTAATACATTGGTGAAAATGAGAATTTGGGGACAGGTTGAGGGCTGAGGGTGAAGAACCAAAGACCTAACAGTAGTGTCATACAGGTGCCCTGGCCAGCAGCTGGCAAGAGGCCCAAGGAGGACCCGGCAGCTGTGGAGTCATAGGGCCTTGGAGGGGTCTGAGACTGAGCAGTGTTGATTGTGGGGGCTGGTGGCCTGCATGCGCCTACCAGGCCGCAGTTGATGGAGATGCCCTCCTTGGCCCGCTCGCCGGTGGCCCCTGTCCGCTTCAGCCGCTCGGAGCCGGCCAGGTCCACAAAGTGAAACTTAGCGGTGAGTGTCTCATACTCGCTTGCAGGAGCTGTCCCTTCAGGAAGCCCAGTCACTGCCTCATTCACCTGCAGCAGAAGTGGCACCTGACTCACCCAGCCCTCACCCACCCACTGCTCCTCTGCTCACAGCCCCACTGTCCTGCAGAACTGTTGCCCGGGAGGCATATGCAGAGCATCTGTGGCATACACAGGACTTGCACATGCCTGATTCTCATTTAACCCTCACAACACGATAGAGGTTTTGTTACTCCATTGCACAGATGGGGTAACCGAGGCTCCAGAAGAAAGATAAGAAAAATCAACCAGTGGCAGAGGCAATCCCCAACTCCAGGGATCCTCGACTCCTCATTTGGCCCACCCTGGGATTCCCCTGCAGCACACCAGCTCCTGGGCTCCCCAGGGCTCCTCACCAGGTCAGGTTGGGTGCACAAGCGCATCTGGCACAGGTGGATGGTGAAGATGGCATGGGAGCGGGAGCTCTGCACATTCATCTGCGTGCTGGCTGTGGTCCTCGACAGGGCTCCCTGCTTCAGGCACTGGATCAGCTGGGGACAGAGGCAGAAGAGAGGATTTGGACTGCCAAAGTGCAAGCCCCTGCCTTGCAGGATGCCCTGTGCCTGCCCCGACCTCCAGTGGATGCTCACCTCCTCCTGGGAACTGATGAGGCGAGAAGTGACACCTGTGGTGTAGATGCCACCATTTGCGTCCTCGTGGATCTTGATGTTGGACCTGCGATGGCGGGCGTCAGGGTCACGGGTGCTATCAAACAGGTCAAGGATCTCCTCATTGTAGAGCTGTACCAGGGAGGAAATAGTTGCTGGGTTCCTAGGGCACACAGTGTGGGGCTCCAGGGGACTTTCTCATGTTTATAAACCATCTCCATTTTGCAGATGTGGAAACTGAGGCTCTGGAGGTTAATTCGCCCAAACCTCATCCCCTCTGGGTTCTGAATTCCATGGTCTTTCTCCTGGACAGGGGTGGGAGGGCAACTGGGCCCTGGACCCTGAGGCTGTGCACTGTTCCTCCACTCCCCAAGGAACCAGCATCCAGCAGCTCTCAGTCTCGAGAGGGGGCTAAGGACCTAAAGGGGACAAAGGGACGCAGGTCCTAGATAGAGGAGATGAGGAAGCTATGACCATGATTTGGCAGATCCTATTATATCACTGGGCTGGGAAAGAGGGGGTGGGGACATGGTTCTAGGTGAGGGAGGGCAGAGGCAGATCTCAGTGGAGAACAGGGGAGCTGTGCCTGATCCCAGTGTCCCTGGCGTTGAGGTGACGACAAGCTCCAGGTGGGGGAGGAATGTTTCTGTGCACTCTGCCCAATGCTCAGGAGGGGAGGTGGGCACAGAGAGTGTACCACTGTGGCCCAACCTCCTGGGGGGACCTTGATGAGACCATCGTGGGGAGGTGGCTGGCTAGGAGCAATCACCCCATCACAAACATTCTCAGCCACAGAGATTCCTGCATTTGGAATCACCAAATTCCAAATTTGGTGGAAGGGAAAATTTCACCTGCTGAAGGGCTGGGATGTTCAACAGGCAGGAAGCTGGGGCTGGGGAGTGGGAAAAGGGATAGGGGCAGCTGGGGCAACTGCCAAGAGACCCCTATGGGGCAAGGGTGGGAGGGGGGACTGCAGCCCTCAGACATCCGAGGCTTTGATGGCCTCAAAGGGACAGAAATATCCCACAGGAAGGGGAAGAGGAAACAGAAGGGACGGTGCAGATGGGATGTCCTAGTGTCTGTCTGTCTGTGTTGGGACAGACACACTGCATCATTTAACCCCTTGTGGTTCACCAGTTGGCACGGGTTTTCTAGGAACTAGCCTGCCATTTGGTGATCTCCATGGCATCAGGATGGAGAAGGGAATAAAACAAAGAAATGTGAGAGAAAAGCTTATAGAGATACACAAGCAGCCAGATTGGATGCACACATGCACACATGCACACACATGCACAGAAAAGCTTATAGAGATACACAAGCAGCCAGATTGGATGCACACATGCACACATGCACACATGCACTCAGGGACAGTTTATCAGAAGCAAAAGTTCAGAAGGACAAAGAAAAACTCCCAAGCCTAAAATACAGGGTCCCCTCAGGGGAAAGCAACCATCCTGTGTGTCCAAGTGTGGTGGGCAAGGGGTGGGGCACAGGAAGGCCTGGAGAAGGCCAAGGCCACATCCCTCCCTCAGAGGGCAACCTGGGTACAGTCAGAACATTAGGATTTATGGGGTGAGAGCCCAGGACATTTCCAAACCTGGCAAACGCCCGAGGGCTGTGGTTTTAGATGCTAAGAATCAGCATTGCCCATCTATGTGTCCTAGAGGAGGAGCTTATCAAGTCGGGAATATTCAGGTCTACCTGCATTCCTAGAAACCCCTCTGAGAGGGCCCCTTTACAGGTGGGAGCTCCTACCTCTGGAGTTACTGAGCTGGGCTCAACACAGGCCCAAAGGTCAAGAGCCCAGAGATTCCCCCCTCCGCCCCAAAAAGCCCAGGCTGCCACAGTTCTCCCAGGGACAGGCAGGGCCAGATGCAAAGAGAGGCTCTTTCTGGGGGAACTTTCTGCCCTGGAGTCAGAGAAAACTCAGAGGGCCAGGAAGCATCTTAGCCAGAAAGTGACAAGCAGGGTGCTCTGAGGCTGAGGAGGGACCCAGTGAAGGCTGGAAAGCAGGGCAAGAAGCAGAGTCTCAGTGTGTGCACAGCCTTCGTTTCCATGTCATCCTCTCAACATCCCTAAGGAAAGAGGCATCACCCCCATTTTGCAGATGAGGCTCAGAGTGGTGAAAGGACTTGCCCAAGGTCACAGGGTTAGTGTCAGAGCTAGAATCACTCAGGGTTTGAAGAGCTATTGTAGGTCATCGACTAAGCCCCATTCAATGCAGGAAATGCTTTACTGTGTCCTGCTAATGGTCCTCCAGCCCTTGCTTGGATACTTCCAGCAGTGGGGAACTCATCGCCTGTAGGTGCCCCCAAGGCTCCCTAAATTCATACCACTGCGCCGGAAGGCCCAGCTTCCACTGCCTTGTGGCCCACCCTACAAGACCACAGTACCTCCAGGAACTGAGCGCTGACTTTGAACTCGGGCCCAGCCACGCCCTGCTCCTGTGCCCGCCGCTTGCGCTCGGCGATGCCCCCAAAGAGGTGTGCGATGGCCCTCGGGATGATGCCCTGCTCCTCCTCCACCGTCGCTGTGTCGAAGCCAGTGCCCATAGTGTATGTCTTCCCAGCCCCCGTCTGCATTGGCAGAGGTGGAAAGAGGGTGTTACCCAGCATCTTCTGGGGCACCAGCATCCCTGCACCTGGGCCAAATCCCCTTCCCGATCTATCTACCTCCCAGCCTGGTTCCCCTGCCCCTTTCTTGGTCCCAAAGCCACATCCTGTGGAAGTCTGACTGACAGCCCTCCCTCTGCTATCCAGCTGCACAGCAGCATCCTCAGATGACAGATGAAACTGTGCAGGTGTGTCTCAGTTGCTCCAAAGGTGGGGCTGTCTCCCCATCAGATGGGGCAGGGGAGCCAAGACTAGAGTGGCCACTCTTGGGAATGCAGGTGGCTTACCTGCCCGTAGGCCAGCACTGTGGCATTGTAGCCCTCGAAGCAGCCCTCAATGAGCTTGCTCACACAGGTTGAATAGATCTGTTCCTGCCAGGTGTCCAGGTCGAAGACAAAGTCATAGGTGAAGGCCTTGTCCTTTCCCAGCAGGACCTGGGGCTCCCCCGGGGTGACAGAGGTACAGATGTGACAGCCCTCAATCTTCTCCTTTGACAGCTGGGGCCGGATCCTGCCCAGGATAGGGAGAGCCCTGGGATCAGGCCCAGCTGGAGGGGGGCTTCTGCAGCGCCTCCTCCCTCACACTGCCTGCCAAGCCTCCCCTTCCCCCACAAGCTGGAGAAGAAAGGATGCATAGGAATGCCCCATAGGACAAGGATAATTTTTGTGATACAACAACAATAACAATAATATCGACATCACTGAAACAGCAGTTGCTGACATTTATTGAGCAGTCAGTGTGTATCAGATTTATGTTTAAAGTATTTTATATAAATTAATTCACATGTGATTATTTTTCATCAAAAGCCTGTGAGGTTTATAGTGAAGAATACATGAATAAATACGTCTAATTATTTGCCTGATTTTACAGACGAGAAAACTGAGGCTGAGAGAGTGTAACGACTTGCCTAAGGTCATATAATGGAAAGTGACAGCTAAACATGTGATTATTTTTCATCAAAAGCCTGTGAGGTTTATAGTGAAGAATACATGAATAAATACATCTAATTATTTGCCTGATTTTACAGACGAGAAAACTGAGGCTGAGAGAGTGTAACGACTTGCCCAAGGTCATATAATGGAAAGTGACAGCTAAGTCCAGGTCCGTGTGACATGAAAGTTCACACTGCTGGCTGGACTGGAGCCCTAGAAATCAGCACCTCCTCAGGGGAGAGAAGACAGCATGCCCCGCACTGCGGAGACAAAGCTTGGGGTCAGGGTAGGGAAGAAAGGGACAAGCCTGGCTGCCCCCCACAACCCTGGACCACATTCCCCAGAGCCTCTGCTGAGAGTTCTCCAGCCCAGGAGCCCTGTTCCAGATGCCAGAGCCTGGTACTATTCTGAGGCACAGCTCTAGTTCCTTGCCAGGAGCTGAGGGGCCAGCCAAGCACAACCCTGGCAGACTAGGTCACATCAAAGGTTCTCTGTGAAGGGCAGGGACCTCTAGAAAGAACACCAGGCCAACCACAGGCTGGGCCCACATCCCAGATCCTGGCAGGATCCCCTGTAAAGAGGAGGGAGAGTGGCATCAGGACTGAGTGGGGAGCCAGCCATGGAAAGAACTGTCTCCATCCAGCCGCCCCTTCCTCCCTCTCCCAAGCAGCCATCACCATGGCGAGGTCCCCATGGCAACCAGCATGAGTCAGTGAGTGTGCATGTGTAGGGATTGGCAAAAAGCACCCCCCAACACCCTAAAGTGAAAGGGGGCGGGTCAGGCCCTAATGCCCATGGGCTCACACAAGCCAGCCCGATCAGCGGGCACTCACAATGAGCTTCTTGTCAGGCTCCCTCTCCCTAAGCCAACATTTACCAAGAGAAGAAAAGAATGAGAGGGGACATGCCAGCACCCATCCAGGGCTCAGAGGCGCCTAGCTGCAGAGCCCGGGGCCTCCAAGTTGCCATCCTATTCCTGTCCTGGGCTGCCCCAGCCCTCAGGGTCCACTCAGAGCTGCAGGCTGAGTGAGGTGCTTACCTGAGCCTGTTACCTGCACTCTGCTGTGACTGGGGAGATGGGGGAAATCCCTGGTTGTGGGGGGAGGGTGTTGGGGCTGAGTTACACCAGGTACAGGTCCCACCCATAGAGGGGAGTCTGGGCTTTCTTTCTTCAGGAGTGTTTTCCATGAGGTGTGAACAGGTCCTCATAGGTCAGTGGCTCTCCCCTGAAAGGAATGGAAGCCCAAGGAGGTCACCACCTTTATCCTGATGTCATGGGCCAAGCGGAACTGAGAAACCAGCTTCTCAGCCTCCCACCTGCACTGGTTTCCGACTGGGAAGGGAACAGCTCGTTCTCGCTCTTCCTCTCTGGACCTGCAGAAACTTGAGCCCTAGTAAGGCTCCTGCCTCGACTACCACTCCTAATGGCAGCAGTCCCATACTGAGCACTC